TGAAAAGCCAAATTAGTAAAGTCAATTAGTGTTTTTTTTTTTTGTTAATAAAAGTTTCCTCAAAAAAAAAAATATTTTTGATTTCTCATTTTAATTTGCCCAACCACTTTAGAATTCTCCAAATGAAAAAAAACTTTTGTTGGACTATACATTTCATTACAGAAAATTGATAGAATGTTGTAAAATTTCTATTTTGTATTTAGTCGACTTAGATGTACAATTTTTGTCATATATTGCCTAAGAATTAATAATAAAATTTTTCAAATTTATTTAACTGAAAAATACCTGGTCCTAAAATTTTGTTCAAGAATTGAGTTATAACTACTGGAACCTGTACCAAAATGTAAAGCAATATCAAACAATTCCCAAATACAATCTATGAATTAATTAATAAATAAACATAATTTAAATAGAGATAAAGTGTTTTGCTTTTATATACTAATTAAATAATTAATTATAAAAGTCCCCGTAAAGTATGCAAACGTAAATTTAGATTATAAACTTAAATTTAACAACTAACTGCATTCAATTCATTCAATAATATTAAAAATGTTTATATCATTTTTATTTTCTTTCTATATATATAAATTTTAAGGATATTTACTTTTGTAGATATTAAATGATTTATTCGAAATATATGTATCCTATAGTTTTATGATTTAAAATTTTATATACCTAAATTTAATCATTTATTACATTTTACTCAATTTAGGTTAATAAACGTTTTAAATAAATTATTTCAAATAGAAATTTGATGTTTTCTTATATATCTCTACCTTTAAATTCACCTGAGCTCAATTTTCTTTTTTTTTTTTAAAGCATTTTTCTCAACATTTCATAAAATTACAATATCTTAAATCGTTAATGGTTGCAATGTAATACATAGTACATATTTATGTATATATACATATTATATGTATTTATTTATATGTATGTAAGTATTTAATAAAGAGGAAAAAAAATAAAGCATTTCCTGCACATTGAACAAAGAATTATTAAACTCATATAAAATTGCTCTTATTTTGTTTTATTGGTTTTTTTTTTCTCTCAATAATTAATTTTAATCAAAAATTCTTATAAAAATAAATTATACAAATATAGCTATATATATATAATATTTTTTGATTAGGTTAAAAGTTATCTTAAATGATAAAAATAAAAATTGTCTATTAAACAAATAAAAACTCTTTAGCAAAATTTACATTGTATTAGAAATCCTCTTTTTTTTTTTAATTTACAAAAATATGCGATATTTTCTGCAGGATATATTAAAAATAAATTAAAATACATTTAACATCGTATACCATTCGGTAAAGATTAAGTATAATAAATCGAATTTCCGAAAAATTAGAAATAAAATTTTGCTCCGTTTTGGTTTTAGGGTATAGTTGCTTTATAGAATATTTATTTTCTTATCCGACAACATAAATTTCAATTCAAACTATTGACATTATAATTGCTATATGAAAATAAAAGAGTTTTGAAATTGAAAATATAGATTTAAGTCAATTTCACTATAAATCATATGATATAAAAATCAATTAATATTAAAATATATTTTGTGTCCTTTCTCATATTTTTAATAGAAATTCTGAAATTTTGAAATTCAGAGAGAATTTTCAAAAAGAATATGTAGGTATACGTACATGTATATTATATAAATGGTTTGACAATACATATATGAATACATATTATTAATCTCCAATTGCTAACAATGAAATTACTCCTAAAATTGTAAAACATAATGTTTGAATTTAATTCCTCCAAAAAAATATAAAAATTACCTAATTTTTACTTATTCAATATTTTCATTAAACAGTTGTCCTAAGAATTAACAACTATTCAAAATAATTTTTATATAAAAATTTTCAAAAAATTTTTTTTTTAAAAAAATCCAAAAATTTGACATTATTTAACAAATGTAAATTTTATCGTTATACTTACATATTTCCATCAAATATGTACACTACTCCGAATATAATTTATAATTGCCTTAAACTATATAAATCAGGTTATACCACAGGATATTTTCATTTTAACATAGAAAATTAGATTATATCAACTTTAAATATAACAAGCACTATCCTCCTTTTTAAGATCACAAGAATCAAAATTAATTCAGAGTTTCGTAAGTTGCGTGTTTTTACTTACATTATTTAATATATAGTAATTTATATATATCTTGGCAATTTTGCATATTAATCATTGCTTATTAAAAAATTAAACTTAAGGTCAAAAATAATTACAAAAATCAAAAAACATATTATATTGATATATGTATATATAGGTACACGTTCACTTACATACACACAAATTATTAAAATATAGCAGTTAATATCCAGTTATAAATAATTGCAGTGAAAAAAAGAATATATGGAACGACATTTTAACTTTAATAATTTTATTAATAGTTTCGGTTCCAAAGGGTACTCTCTACACACTTTCGCAAAAAAATAAAATTTATGTTAAAAATATATTAATTTTGGAATATTTTTTTTTTTCTAAAAATAAAAAAATCAGAAATGGAAAGTGAAAGAAATACCTACATAATATATATATTTTTTATTTCTTAACACATTATATACGCATACACTATTCGTCCATAAGCAGCAAGTACAGTACTGATCACAATAATTTTTCCATTCGAATAATTTTTCTAAATAAATTTAAATTAAAAATATTTCATTATATGTGAAATATTGTCGGATTTAATGCAAAGATTAATTTTCATTCATATTTACAAATATGAAACTTTAGGAAGGTCTGCGCATATATAGAGGACATGGGTATCTAATTTAAAAACTTTAGAAATTAATTTTCTAAAGATTCAAAATTCTTGTTTGATATCTAAATATTATGCGCTCAAATATTCATTCTTTATTTCACATAATATACAACACTCGATCCGTGTCCTTTTATTTAAAATTTAATATTAAAAGTTTTTCTCTCATATCACGTACAAATTACATACCTCAATTATTTTTAAATTTACTGTAGTCATTGATTGTCAAAAAGTAATATTCTTTAACATAAAATATTTATTTTTTTCTTTCTGGATTGCACTTAATGACTTAATTATACACTAAATAAATTTAGACCTAGAGCTTAATGCAGATTTTATTTTTCGTTACTTATTTCAGTTTCGTACATAATTGGTCTTTATTTATTCCATCTTCGTACATAATTATCCAATCATAATGAACGATGGCAGGTAAATGTATAAAAGTGATTTTTTTCTTTGCGTGTTCATAGGTGTGGCGTATATTATTAATTTTGGTAGTTTTTCTTTCGGCATTCTATACACATGCTAATTCTTTGGCTTTTGACAGCGTACAATACATTCACCCCTAATTAGATTAAGTAGTTCTACGTTTGACCTCATGAAATCATTTCTTGAGTTCATAAATTTTCCTTAGAATTTCTCTTTCAAATATGTGTAACAAATTTTCATCTACCACGATGACTGTCCATACTTCCCATAGGTTACGACCAGCCTAATCAGCGTTTTGTACATTTGAAGCTTGCAGGACCTGGTATGTAGCTTGGATTTAAACAATTTTTGTGTTTAATTTTATATGACATTTAATATTATACATATTCAATGTAAGATCAAGCATAAAATTACATCAAAACGATTCAAGTACCTATAACTCCAAATCTATAACGATTTATTTTAAAAGAAAATTACTTTTAAAAGAAATTAAAGAAAAAATGCACTTTTTTTTTAGCAAAATGCTAATGGATTCGAATAATCTTCCCATCATATACTTAAATTTGGATCATTATAAAATTATATGGTGCGATTGTTCGCAAGTTATTCGAAACAAATGTAAATAATGCATCAAGAAAATATTTATATGCTTATTAATCTTCCGCTTTTTTTTACAATCATTGTTTTAGTAACAACATGCATATTACGTGTTGTTATCCGTTTCTGCATTTAAAAGTTTAATTTTATTTTACTCTAACTGGTACAGTTGTTTTTTTTTTTATTTAAAAGTTATTAAAAAAAGGAAATAGAAAGCTCAGTGTAATATTTTCTGGATAACATTAATGAGAATTTGTGCTGCCTTGCAAACAAATATTCATGGATAAAAGCCGGACAATGTAGGCTTCACAACTTACTTTTCAACTTTGAAAAGTTTTTAACTTTTAAACTAAAAATTCCAGAGAAAATTTTTGAGCTAGAGTGTTTTATATGTAATACATTCACCACATATGTAATTATATTGTCTTACATCATGTATCTTAATCGCATATAGAGTTAACCATCTCAATTCCATGTTTAGAAATCAATGAGTCCTTAGACAAGCATTATTGCCTGTTTTCTTATATTATATTTACATTATACTTCTTCTCCAGGAATATAAAATTTAAATATTACATATATATATTTTTATATACATAAGGCCTTGCAAAACTTTCTACGTAGGCACATTGCATGTTGCTATGTATATGTCTTATAAAAAATAATAACCATAGTACTGTATATATTACTTTACTTACAATGAGAAAAAGAACACATTTTTAAATAGTGGGATGAAGTGTTTTTGCCTTATATGTTGTTTTGTAATTATAAAAGCGTGAAAGATATACAAAAACCTTAAAATCCGAATTTTTTTCTTTTTGGATATTAAAAAAATAATAAAAACAAGTATATAAGGATTAATGTAACAAAAAAAAATTTATAATTAAGTTATTAGAATTATTAGAAGTATAACATTATTGATTATTAAACACTTTGTAATATTTTAAGAGCAATTTTTATTTTTTCCGTTTTAATTTAACAATTTCAACAGTTTTTCTACAGAATTATTGTTCTAATTATCAAATGATTTTACCATTTGTTTAAATCTGTTCTATGTATGTATAACAAAACAAAGAAATTAAACTTTATATTTAACAAGTTCATTAACAAAATTTAATAACAAATATAGAATTTATAGATATAAAATGTAGAATATAGAATATACAATTTGGTATTATCATTTATAAACATAAGTAAATTAAGACTCCCTTAACCAATTAAATAATGTAAAAATAAAACATAAGTATTGAAATTTATTTATTCAAAAAATATATAAATCTTTAATTAATCACTGAAGTAATTAAACTTATTACATCTCAAATTATTTTGATAATTCAAAGTGATTATTTTAAGAAAATACTACTAAAACAAATTTCAAAAGTCACTAAAATCTTTTATTTCTTAAAAATTCTCTTCTACCGACCAAATTCCAAATGGCTTCTTGATAAGTCTTTGGCAAAATTTTTGGAATGTCGACATCACTTTCATAAGTGTAGTGAAACACATTTGTAACAGAAAAATCAGTTTCTTGTGTTCTAGTTTCTGTTATACACATTAATTGTATATTCCTTTCTTCAGTATATGTTACATATGTTGTAGTTCTTAGTATTGTAGTTACTTCAACAGGTTTATGGAAAATTATGTCACTAATATATTTTATTCTTGGTATAGAACCTGCATACAATGATGCACTGATGATACTATTTTCCAAAGCTTTGCGCATTAAAAATCCGCCGAAAACCTGATTTTGTGCATTTCGATTTTCAGGAAAAGCTATATCGATATCAACTATTTTTGTTTTATCCATCCAAACACAGTGAGACGGTAAAATGTGTCCCCCAGAAAAAATTGTTGTGTCTGATTGTGTTAGTAAAAAGTTATCATGCATTAGTTTTTGTTCTTCTTGTGTTGGTAACACTTTTAATAAATTGGAATCACGGTCAAGTTTGCGTCGTTTTTGTCTTTCATTTGCATTTTCCAACAGACTTTCTTCATATGCATTAGAAGCTTTTAACGGGTTTACTGGAGCTGATTTTGTATTAATAGCATTACGAGCTCCCATGACAAATAAAGACTTCGTAATTTTTTGCAATGAACCATCAGGTTTAACAGTTTCAAGCCACACAATAATTTCCATTGAACTTGTACCAACCCAAGACACATGACCAGATAATCTAATATCATTATGGATACTTGGAATTATATTCGTAAACTTAATTTCATCAACAAGTATTGTAACAAAAGTATATGGCAAATGAACTTGGTGGAGATCTAGTTTTGGTATATACAAATGTTTGTGGCATACCCAAACTAAAGCATAGTGAGAGTAAAAAAAGAAAAAATGTATTGACTAACATTTAAATAACAAGTAAATACATATGCACCTGCAAATAAGTCCATATCTTCCATCAAACGCCCAAAACGTATCGATTCTGTAGAAGTTATATATGAGTCTCTTAAAACACTATCTTGAGAAAGAGGAATAATGGCGGATGTAAAAGAGTCATTCATACATCTTGGGGGTAAATCTTCGCGCTTAGGTTCATATTGTAAAAGATGATCTCTAGATTTTGGATATTGTGTATATGTTGGATCCAAACCTAATCGATCCATCATTTCTGCTTTTACTACAATTTACCAGAATATTAAAATAAATGAAAAAAATAATGAAAGCTGGTACTTACTTTCTTTCATTGTCATTATCTGATGACTCCCCAATTCTATTAAAATAATTAAATAAAAAAATTCACAATAAAAATTAGAATTTCCGATTTTTAAATGAGTAATGAGTTATTTATTACTTTAAGTTTGACTTACACGTATTGCTGGATTTAATACCAGTTACTTGCTTGAATGAAAAATAAAATGACAGCTAAACTGACCGTAATCAAAAAAAAAATATTTTTTTCTTTTATAACCAATGTTTTGAAAAGGCACGTTAACTTTTATTTTCTATATAAATTGGCAAGATGAACAGTTTGTGACCATGCAAAACGTTGACTGATAGGAACTATAAGACAAGAATGGGTATTCCTCACAACATTTTTTCTAGAAACTGCTGGAAGGTGAAAGACGGGGAGACACTTCGCCGATTTCTCAGACTAGCTCTGGCAGCTGGACGGTAAATACGGAAATGACCGCTATTCTTGGATGTGGAAGAGCCGCATTTGAGAAAAGTGATGTGGAATATTTGATTGATCTCCTCGACCAAACGGATCTAGGGGCAGTAAATAGAACTGGTACTAGGTATGAGGCTTATTATCCCTTTTGAATATACTTACTTTTATTACGAAAAGTAATTTTAAATTTTTAAATTTTAAATTTAAGTGTTGATTTTGCCTATGCTTGTATGTATGTATGTTGAAAAATTTACAATTATGAATCATACAAAAACATACATACTTACCTATTTGATTTATATAATTTTCCTTAGTATTGATCAATTTTTTGTTAGCTTGAAACTTGATATCTGTTAGACCTCTTAAATGTTGATTTGAAACTTCTCTCATTCTAAGCTGATCAATTACTTCTTCGCTAGTTAAATTACGCATGTTCAATAATTTTTCTTGCAGTGGTTTATCTCCAATTCCTAAAATTATTCTCTTGCTTAACATTTCATCAAAATCAGCTTCACTAAATTCACACATTTTTATAAGTCCTTTAATATTCAATATAAAACTACTAAGGGATTCTCCTTCTAATTGATTACGGTTTTCAAATACGAATCTTGCCAGCATAGGATTATTTTTTGTGGTAAAGAATGTATCGAAGGCTTTTATAACTGAAATATACTGATTCCTTTCTGCTTTGGTCATAGGAAGCGCTAAATATATATTTGCAGCCTCTTCACCAATTTCACTTAAAAAATTTGATATTCGGGCTTTATCACTTTTTCGGGCTAGACCGGATAAAACTTCAAACTTATCGTAATCATTTTTAAATTGTTTCCAATTCTCAGCAATATTTTCAGAAAATATGTTTAATGGTTTACGATTGGACATTTTTTAAAATAAATGTATGTATGTGGAGGTATTCTATTTTCAAATTATTTGATATTAATTACAATACTTGAATATACCTGAATATTATATTATTTTTATTATTTATTTATCTTTATTATTTATTTATTTATATATTTTTATTATTATATCTTAACATAAACAAAATTTGGAAAGAACTCATTTACAATTCAATCTACTATGGGCGGGTGATCTTTATAATATTTTGATCGTACATAAAGTAAACAATAACAAAGAATCGTGGTTGTCAAACTGACAATTGAGAACTGAAAGCAGTGACGTTACGACATCTATTACTTTATCATCAAAAATTTCTTTTAAAAAATTTCAACTGATTTCGAGTACATATTTGTTTTATAGTTCTAAATAAGCCTCTTCACAAAACAAAAATTAAAGAATAACTTAGTTACCTTTTTATTTTTCACAATTTCTTTAATTAATTAACACAACTCTTACACATCTTAATTTTATTTGCAGATCAACTATATATTAATACAAAATATATAATATGGATGGTATGATAATAACGGTCGCTTAGAATTTTTTTCCATAATAAATAAAACATGCGTAAATAAGTTGTTTTTGATCGGTGCCATGAGCTACTTTTGTCGACATATTCTATAACATTTTTATTATTGAGATTTAATCAAAGCACCATTTAATTAAGATCACTGACTGATTCTAAATAATTTTTGTTTTCAAATTTGACTTTCAAAAATGTTAATCAAATACAAATGTACATACATATGTGACTTTTTAAATTTTTACAGGAATTTTTAAAAATAAATTAAAAAGTCACGATATACTAATTTTCCAGTTTTTAATTCAGTCCAAAACTCAAAGACCATAGCTATCAAAAAATGGAATTTTTAAAAAGGTTAGTATCTACATACATACATATGTATGCAATAATTATTGTATGTATATGTATGTATACAATAAGTAAGTACATAATTGTTCACATATTTATACATACATATACATACATATGTATGTATCTTTGAGAATTTAACAAAAATGTTAAAGAGAAAAAACTAATTCTTCCAACTGCTTATATTTAATACAAAGAACTTTTCTTAATTTTTTTCATTTGTTTAAGATTTTATTATAATATGCGAATATCGATTTTCCTTTAAACAAATAACAGTTATATTTTTAATTCTCTATCGATCAATTTCACCAAATACTACATCTAAAGTACCAATTATAGCTACAATATCTGCTAGCATATGCTGTTTTCCTACTTTCTCCAAAGCAGCTAAATGAGCGAAACCGGGAGCCTTAATTTTACATCTGTATGGACGACTTGAACCGTCGGAAACTAAATAAACCCCAAACTCTCCTTTCGGGGCTTCAATTGCTGTGTATGTAGATCCTGGAGGAACTTGATAGCCTTGTGTAAATAACTTAAAATGATGAATCAAGGCTTCCATTGAATTTTTCATTTCCGCTCTAGATGGTGGCGTTACTTTAGCATCATCCGTTTTAATTTCACCAGGGGGCATTTGATTTAAGCATTGATCAATTATGCGAAGTGATTGCCGCATTTCTTCTACACGACACAAATAGCGATCATAACAATCGCCCTTCGTTCCAATCGGCACATCAAAATCTACTAAGTGATAAGCATCATATGGCTGTTGTTTCCTTAAATCCCATTTAATTCCTGAACCTCGTAACATTACTCCACTAAACCCATAGTTTAAAGCATCCTCTGAGTTAACTATGCCAATATCTACAGTACGTTGGACCCAGATTCGGTTTGTTGTAAGAACATCTTCGACTTCGTCCAATCTCTCAGCAAATTTGGAAGCAAATTCATAAATATCATCTAATAACCCTAAAGGTATGTCCTAAAATACACTATTGTTTAAAAGGCAACAGAATACTTTAACAAGTAAAAAATAACGTACCAAAGAAACCCCTCCCGGCCTGATATAAGCTGCATGCATTCGTGCACCAGAAACTCTTTCGTAAAACTCCATCATTTTCTCACGTTCTTCAAACAACCAAAAGAATGGTGTAAGTGCACCGACATCTAATGCATGTGTTCCGACCGCCATGATATGGTTTAATATGCGTGTTATTTCAGCAAACAAAGCTAGAAAAATTTGCGCTCATCAAAATCTTTATAAAATATATTTTAAAAAATTTTACTCCTAATATATTTTGCACGTAACGGTACTTCAATATTCAGAAGTTTTTCCACAGCTAACGAATAACATTGCTCATTGCACATCATTGAAACATAATCCAAACTAAAATAATTACACTTTATAAAATATCAAAAAGTTTTAAAATTTGGAAGTTAAAAATTTTATAATAGCATACCGATCAAAATAAGGTAATGCTTGAGTATAAGTTTTATATTCTATAAGCTTTTCTGTACCTCTATGCAACAAACCAATATGAGGATCAGCTCGAACAACAACCTAAAAATTAGTTAAACAATAATGATAGTAATGACAGTACTAATAATAGTACCTCTCCATCGAGTTCCAAAACTAAACGTAACACTCCATGAGCAGCGGGATGTTGGGGACCAAAGTTAAGGGTTAAGTTTCTGACACTTTTCTCAACTGGTGCAATTTTACCTAAACACAACATAAATATGTATGTTTTAATCTAGTTTAATAAATCTTATCAGAAACGAACTGTTGTATGGTGGTATTTTCCATAATGATGTTACTTCATCGGGGTACATAACCGCTCCACCAAACTGTTGAAAAAACTCAGGATCGGGGGACCATTTCGCAGCTCCACGGTTTTGTTGGCTGCGAAAAAAAAATATATATATACATATATATCATAAATACAGTGTCATTAATGTAGATGGATATATATATGGATAGACGGTTATACATACATACATACATTCACATGTAAGTACTCTTCTCTTAACGTATTATATTAAGTATGTACGAACAAATAACCTTAAATTTATTATGTAAGCAAAGTCAAAAAAATCTTAAATGTACTGGAATATTTTTGAAATATGAACAATTTTTATATTACACAAATAAAAGGTGCCTTATTGGAATTTTTGTGATATATACCGATTCAAATTTCTCTTTTCCGGAAAAATATAAATTGTAAAATGTAACTTTGTTCCAAAAAAAAAAAAATAAATTTTCCTTACCTTGCAGCTACAGCTGGAAAAGTTTTTAGTAAACTTTTTTGAAAAGCTGAAAGTGCACTCTTCCTTGCTACCAAATTTAAAACCGAGAAAGCCATTTAAAATGTAAATTCGGCTAAAGTAATAACAAGTTTATATATTTTTACAATATCATAGAAATTTTTTTTGAATGACATTAATTGACAACTTGAACAACTAGACTGCCATATGGTTGTCAAAGTTGTCATTATTTAAATAAAACCATAAACTGAGTAAATTAATAGACTGGCAATAGAGCCTATTTTCCATTTTCGATCTAATAGGACGTCCTATATTTGCATTTTCCCCATTATGCTTTTGGAACTCTTTTGATTTTTAAAATCTAACTTATAAAAGTATAAAATTTTTTAGAAAAAATACAATTTTCCACAAAATAGAATGTATAAAAACAATATCACTTCCATATGGAAAAGCTTTCAAAAGTTGATTTTGACAAAAAAAAAATGATTATTTGTTTTAGTGTGTTAAACTTAATGGACGCAATTGTAAAAAAAAATTGGTTATTCATTTTATTTTTAAATGTACAACACTAAAATTTTCGAATAGTACCCGATTAATTCGAATTCCAAATTCTTAATATGTGGCGTTTTTTATTGTTTTTATCACTAATTATTGAAATTATTATACTTATCTTATTCATATTTCGAAGATATTTTCTTTAATTAAAGTTATGATCAGAATGACTTTTAAATTAAGTAAAGACTTTAAATATTAACGTAATTTAAAAAAAATATTTAATAAGTTGCATAACAAGTGTATTAAAAAAGAATTTAAATATCTAACTATCAAACGACCACTGTAAAAATCTTTTGAAGCATAGTGTTAATTGGGTACATAAGACTATATGGTAACACTTGTAAGATTGACATTTTCTAAATTTTGTTTATTATTATATTTTTATTCTAAATTTATTGTACATTTTTTACAATTTATTTCAAAACATGGAAAATTACAATCACATCTCAAATAAGACGTGTAGAACATGTGCGGAAAATTTTACTAAGAAACTCTCACCATTGTTCAAAAAGGAAAATGCCCTTATAATGCATTTTGTACATAGCAAAGAATACAATATCAAGGTAATATTTTTCGGTAAAAAATCTAGAAACCTGTTTTTATATTTATGTTTTAGATAAGCAAAAATGATGGTCTACCACAAAATATTTGTTCTGGGTGTTTGCAAGAACTTACGAGATTGCACAATTTTTTAATGAAATGTAAAAAATCTGAAGAAATTCTATTAAAGAAATATAAAACGTTGGCTGCTTTTGGGGCGGTATCTGATTATAAAGATGAATATGACTTAAAAACAGAATATATTTCAGATAATGAAGATTCGAAAGAATGTTATTTTAATACTGATAACAAAGAAAATAATTGCAGTACTTCAATAAAATCCCAACTTGATATTACAAATTTAGGAAAAATAGATTTGGAAATAAAAGAAAAACATCATGATATAATTGATAATGATAGAGTGGAAAAAACTTCCTCAAGAGAAACAAGTGTTGAATTAGATAATACTGATATTAAGAGTGATATTGAAGAAGATGAGGATGAAGCCTTACAAAATAGCGGTGACAAAGTCTGCGACAATGAAGAGCTAACAAAGCGAAAAACTAGGTCCTGTAGTAAAACATTAAACACAGAAAAAGACAAATATATATGCTTACCATGTGATGAAGTATTTGAAAATTTATCTGAATATAAACGTCATAGAAAAATTCATCCAAAATCAAGAAAATATGTTCGAGAAACATATTTATGCGATTTATGTGGGAAAGGTCTTACAGTTGAAATGTATATCAGAATATGTGTAATGCTTTTAATATTTTTTTTAAATTGTAGAATTCGCAAAACAAGAAACTTTGAGGGATCATAAAAATACACATTTGGGCGTTAAACCATATAAATGTGAAATATGCGAAAAGAGTAAGATATACGAAAATTTATCAAATAAAATATATAAATTTTTCATAAGTATATAACACTTTATATATTTTACACCTAATAAGGAAAATTATCAAAAGGTCATTCTTTTAGCTTTCGCAGTTAAAAACGCACTTCGAATTCACGTGGTGAAACATTCCAAAAGAGAAACGTTCACATGTGAAACATGTGGAAGAGTATATACAACTAAAAGCTATTACCGAGAACATTTATTACGTCATGAAAAAGGATCGTTACTGGAAAATAATGAAAAGCCTTTTAAATGCCCTCATTGCCCCAGATCATTTAAGTTATTGTCAACATTAACAGCCCATTGCAATTACCACAATAAAACTGCAGACCGGAAGTATCATTGTACCGAGTGTAATACTACATTCAAAAGATCTGATCATTTAAAAGAGCATATAAACGGAGTACATTTAAAAATTCTGCCTTTTAAATGTGATATTTGCTCCAAATCATTTGTTACAGGTGCAATTCGTAATGCACATGTTAGAAGGTCACATTGTAAGTAAATTTAAAGTTACATATATTCCAAGAAAATTTAGTTACAAGTATTTCAGCTGGATTACGTTATAAATGCAATATTTGCGAAAAAGATTTTTCATTATCAACATCTCTATCAAGGCATAAGAGGCGCCATAATGGAGATAAAAGATTCATATGTGAAATATGCAATATGAGCTTTATGGCTGTTTATCAAATAGAAAGTAAATATACATATTTATATAGCTGGATTTCAATATAAATTTTAATAGTTAATATCATATTTTTTAGAACATATGGAAACTCATAAAATTGACGAAACAACAAAAAATAGCCTGATTTCAAAAACTTATGAAGAAATAGCAAAAGCGGTAACAGATACAATTTAATATCGGAAATAAACATTTTTATTACATAAGTATCCAAAAAACCGTTCAATGTATAAACTTTAATTTTACTTTAAGAAAAATAAATCTTTCAAATAAAAATACAAATTATTCTGAGTGCTATTAAATATACATTTAATCAAATCAAATTTATTTTGCTTTCGTTTACCTCATCTTGGTTAATGGCTAAATATTTTATTTTTTCGTATGTCTGCGTTATTAGGTTTTTCTTTGCAGTTTCATCAAGTTCGTGCGTTTCCATATGCTCTGAAAGAAAGATTCAGTTAAATTTTATAACGAATAGATATTTTAATTTACTTTTTATTTGTATAGGCTTTATGAAACTTTCATTGCAAATTTCGCATATTAAACTTTTGATACCACTATGTTCCTTTTTATGCCTATTCAAGGAAGATTGCAAAGAAAAATCTTTATCGCATTGATTGCATTGAAATCTTTTCCCGGCTTAAAACATATATATATGAAGTTAAAAAAAAAATACTTTTATCTTGCAATTTTAAATCTTACAATGCATTCTTTTAACGTGAATATTTCGTTTAGCTCCTGTTACGAACGCCTGAGGACATAGTTCACATTTGAATGGTAATATTTTTAAATGCACTCCATTTATATGCTCTTTTAAATGATCAGATCTCCGGAAATTTGTGTTACATTCACTACAATGATACTTCTTGTCCAAAGTCTTGTTATGAAATGTGCAATGATGTGTTAGCGTTGACAGCAATTTAAACGTTTTAGGACAATAAGGACATTTAAATAATTTCTCCCCACTTTCATGTCGTTGGACATGCTCCTCATAGCATTTTTTAATCAAAAAATTTTTTCCACATTTATCACATTTAAAATTCTCTGGATTAATATGTCTTTGAATATGCGCTTTTAAAGATGCTTTTATTGAAAAACCTGAAAATTATCTTAATAATTTAAATTGATTTTCTTAATCGGATACGTTTACTTTTATCACATTTATCACATTTGAAAGGCTTAAAGCCCAAATGCCGGTTTTTATGTTGAAGCAAACGATCTCCTTTATCGAACTCTGAAATAAATAAAAAGGATTAGACTTTTTAAGGAAATTATCAACAGTATGTAAAATACTTCTTCCGCAAATGTCACATAAATATACTTTTGGTTGTGCTGGGTGCTTCTCTTTTTTATGTTCTCTTAAGTTAGCAAATTTATTGAATTCAATAGAACAGATACTGCATTCATAATTTTTTTTAGGTACTCTGTTAATGCTTTTGAAACTTTTGTCTTTTTCATCCTCTTTCTCTGAAATTTCTATTTTACTTCCATTTTCTCTTTTCCGTTTCCTCAGGTTATGGGTTTTTTTTTGAAATTTATTGGTTTTGTCTTTGCATGTGGTTAAAATTTTCTCTTCACTTAATTTATTTTTACTTCTAATTTCTTGAATATTGTTTTTTAAAGTGATTGCACATTCTGCTTTTACAATATTCTGTTTATTTTCTTTAATTGTAAATATATCTTCTAATAAACTTCCGAAGGAATCTTTTGTTTCACTCACGTCACTTTCAAAATCATCAAAATTTTCTGCTTCACACTGCGAATCTTTAATACTAGCTTTATTTGCTTGTTGAAGTTTTTCAGTCAGAATTAGTTGAGATTTTTCACATTGCAAAAGAAACATGTAAATTTGTGTGAGTTGTTTCGCACAAGTGTTACAAAGAACCTTGGGTAAAGAATCTTCTTCCGCTATCTGAGTAATTAAGTTGAAATAGTTACACAAATAAAGTTTCAAATTAAATTGGTACCTTAAAATTGAAGCCACTGAACCCTTCCAGCATTTTAATTATTTTTGAGTTTTTTGAAACAAAGATCGGTTGGAGGTCTTCATCAAAATATTCTGCACATGTTCTGCAAGTTTTTTCAAAATTTGCTTTAATTTCCATTTGATTTATTTTTATTTTTTATAGAAAACAAATAAATTGTTTACTTTACTAAATGATCAGTTGGAAAGTGACACATTTTTTGACATTCTCTCAAATGTCAGAAGCCCTTTAAACAAACATTTACCCGATAGTTTCATGTTTTTAAATTCGTGTGCTTTGTTTTTGTTTTTAGTATACTAGATGTGATTTATACCATGTCTGTAGCAATCGTATATAATTTACTGACAATCGTATTAATTTTGGGCGTACACTTTGATTTTGTCAAAAAATAAGTCAGTTTTTTTCATCGAGTTATTTGAAGTCGAGTCCTCGAAGGTTACTAAATTTAAATGAATTGCTTTTCGTCCTCATGAAGAGACTTTTTATCTTGCCAAAAAAACTAAAGAAGTTGTTTACATTATTGGCAAACATACTTTGAATAATATGTTTTCGCCATAGTTTGAACATTGTATAATATTTTGAATTGAAAATGTCATATCATCCCTGCAATATATTTATATTTATATATTTTATTTCATTTCAAAAGTCAAGCGTAAACTGCAAAGCCACATAAATTGTTTACTAACTTCACAAAATTATTACTATTTTAAATAAGAAAATTATAAAAATAAAAGAAATTATTATTCCAAAAAATTCACATTCACATTTTAAAAATGGGAAGTAGCATGTTTATAAATGAACATTGTTCCATAGAAGAAATTTGTCGAACATGTACAATGCATTATGATAGTTGTTCAATGATTCCAATTTTTAAGAATAATTCAAAGGTTGAAATTAAAGCCCATCAAATCATGAAATTTTTTTTTGACCTTCTTCAATTAGAGGTAATTTTTAAACAAAATAAAAAGATTTAAATAAATATTATTTTTACAAATTTTTAGCTTACAGAAAACGATTCCTTGCCTCAAAATATTTGCGAACAATGTTATTCAAAATTCGTAAATTTCAAAATATTTTTAGACGAATGTATTGAGGCACATAATACCTTAATAGCAGCTGTGGAAAAGTCGAAATCAATCGCAGAAACTCTTATTCAGGAAAAAAGTAAAAATTCGGAAAATGAAATATATGCTTTGGAAAAAGAAAATGATCGGGAAATCGAATTTTTAGAAGAGACTTTAGATAACCATCAGGTTTCTACTTGCAATACTGATTCAATAAAACACATGAAACAGGGAAGTGAAATTGCATGCGTAGTAAAAGATCATAATTATCAAGATATTGGTTTGGACATAATAGAAGAGGACAGTAATGTTGAAATGCTTGTCGAATATGAAAACTATAATGACATGAGAACTGACTACATATCGGAATCTGAACTGCATGTTGTGGATAATGAAAATGTAGCATTACTGGATTGTTCTTATTGCAATTTCGCATTTCCCGAAGAGTATTTCGCACAGCACATGAATGATTATCATCCTACCGAAAGTCCGTTTTTATGTACAAAATGCTTTAGAAATTTTAGGACACAGAGTATACGTGATAAACATGTTCTTTTAAATATGTGCCAAATAAACGAAATAAAGTTACAAGATTTTCAAAATATTGCAGTAGAAATTTTTGTAGCCGATGACGATGATTACGACCCTAAGGTTTTTAATGAAACTGAATGCTTGGAACAGACTGAAATTCAAAATGAAACATTATACGAAAAAAATGACTTATTATTTTCAAAGTATTTTTGCAAATCAAACTAACTGTTTGTAATTTAAGTAATTGAAATTATTTTTTTAGTGAGACAGATGCAATTTGTATTGAAAATGCAAAAGACAGTGAAAGCAATTCTAAAAAAGACTTGTCTCTAAGATGTCCTGTTTGTGAGGAACAATTTACAAAATCTAAATTTTTTTCCGATCATCTGAAGCGTTCACATCCAGACTTTGACAGGAAAGCAATACGATCAAAATATTCATGCGAAGTTTGCGATAAGGGTTAGTCTATATGAATGTTTGAACTATTAACAAATTATAAATTGTATATACATTGCAGACTGTAAATCAAAACAATCTTTAGAATCCCATTTAAATAGTCATAAAGGAATTAAACCATATGCATGTGAGATTTGTAAAACAAGTGAGCTTGCTTTTGTTTGTTGTGTTATGAATTTGTATAAAAATACAAATATATTTTTACAGGTTTTTTTGGATCAAAAGCTTTACGGACACATATTAGCAATGAACACAGTTCTTTGCAGTTTAATTGTGAAATATGTGGAAAAGATTTCAATAAAAAAAGTATTTTTTTATCGCATATGTCAAATCATAAAAAAGACAATGATCCTAATCGTAAGCCCGATATTAAATATAAATGCCAATTTTGTCCCAGAACATTCAATACAGTTTCCACATTAACTATACACTCCTTAACACATAAAAAATTGCTAGATAGTAAACATATATGCAATGTGTGTGGAGTTACTTTTAAAAGGGCTGATCACTTAAAAATGCATATGTATGGAGTTCATTTAGATCATAAACCATTTCCGTGCGAGCAATGTGAAAAAAGCTTTCCTACGGCTTGGCAAAGAAATACACACGTTAAAAAATATCACAGTGCAGGTTTTTAGACATATATTATATTTTGCGCTTTTAAATCAATTAAATTTCAATATTTTAGAGAAAAAAAAGTATAAATGTCAGGTATGTCCAAACGAATATGCTTCATCAAATGCTTTAAAAAGACACAATATGATACATACTGGGGAACTTAAATATAACTGTGATATTTGTGAACTAAAGTTTCCAAAAATATTCCTCTTGGAAGGTATTTCTTAAATAAAATTAATTATAATTATTTTTGAAATAGTATTTTGTTTTCAGAACATTTAAAAACTCATGAAATTGATGAAAATTTAAGGCAAGAATCTATTAATGAAGTATACATGGAAATAGCAAAAAGTGTCATTATACCAAATTAGAAAAATTTTGGAATCATAAAAATAACGAAATTTTTGTACCATTTGTAAAGAAAACAATTGTATAAATCAATTTGAATTAAATTGTTCAGAAAAGTGTAAATAAAGTTTTCCTTCATTGTTATTTCATTTGAATCAATTAATTTTAAAAACAATTTTGAATTATAAGTCTCCATAAGAAAAAAGTTTTCTTAAGGCCTTGAATCTCTCACATTAAAATAGATTAATCAATGTGTATTTAAAATTAATTGCAGTACGTTTAGCCGCAAGTAAAACAAACATCAAATTATTTATTAGTTAAAACTTTCAGAGAAATCATTCGCTTCATAAGCCCTTAAAGAATCTTTTTATATCTATAATAATTTTAGATAGTAAAATACTGGAAACCATATTTTAAAAATAAATATATAAAAATAAATTAGGATTTAATTTTTTCTTTTTTTAGATTACTACTGCCCATGCTTGAAATCATTGAATTTCAAAAAAAGAATTTTACATATTAGGATTACTCTTACAAAATAATAATCTATATGTGTACATTTTATGTCTTTACACTTTTTAATGCCATATTAAAATGTCTTGAAAGTTTGCCTGAAGTTTTTTATTGCATTAATAATGGTTTATTATTACTATTAGGTTTTATACTAGTTTGCCAATTAATACATAGTATGTTAAATTTTCAGTAAAGGACAAAAATTAAATTCGAAACGCAGTTCTTTGATTTAGATTTGAGAATCATATTAATATAATATGTATATATGTATATAACTATGAGAGATTTTCTTAGAAACTCGCTGAACTATTCAAAAGAATCCAGTTTAATTTTTACATGAAAATGTAAATTTAGTAGGTAATTATCAACATTCAAATTACATACTTTGTAAACCCTTTAAGTATACTATAAATAAAGAATTTATTCTATCAATTTCCTTGACAAAAAAAAAGTTCTACACAATATCTACTAAATAAAATTTCTAAAAGCACATTCATGTTTAAATAGAAAAAAGTAAATAATTTTTTTAATTCCAATATTGTGCACATACGCATATTTTATATTTTAATTTTTTTTTTTGATTTTCGTTATTATATCGATTTCTATATTCCTGTGAAACCTTAACTCCTTTAATAATGTTTTTTTTTAATTAATTTATACTATGCATCATCGATTTCCATTTGATTATTTCAAAATATACTTAGAAAAAATTATACTATTAAAAGTAAAATTGAGAAAAAAAAATATCGTTAACAGGCACATGACGCTTAACACATTTCTTTTTACAATTTTATTTGTCATAGTGCAATTAAAAAAAAATAATAACATGAAAAAAATATTTAACATAAAACTTTAAGCGTTAATCTCTTAATTATAACACATTAGAATATATTATAGTAATATATATATATAGATATTTATATATGTACAATAAATTAGCGATTTTGGCTTTTCGAATGGGATATTAACCATTGAAGAGTAATATCAATATTGGCTTTTTCTTTACACGAAATGATATAGCAACATATTTCTCGATCCTGGATGCTGGAAAGATTCCTAAAAATAAAAAAGTTACGATATAAAATTGTTAAATATTCAAGTGCCTAAAAAATTTTTATGATATATTTTACATTCGTTCAATAAGTGCAGTTTCATCTAAAGCACCAGGTAAATCTCGTTTATTTCCCAAAACTAACACAGGTATTCCAGCTAACTGTGGTTTATCTAATAAGGAATGCAATTCATTCCTTGAAGCTTCCATCTTATCCAAATCCGCAGCATCTACCATATATCTGCAAAAAAAAAAAATTGTTCGGTAAGTATAAACCAAAAGAAAAATTTATAAATTTTTTATATGATATATAAAAAACTATCAAAGAAATAATTAGTCAATTGCCTTAAAGAAAACTTAAGTGACTTTCAGATTTTTAAAAGGTACAATGACAACAAAAATCTCAATATGGAAAAACTCAGAAATTCTAAAATACCACTTAAAAGAGACTTTTCCCATTTGAGATGCTTATGATATGTAGCAATATGTATTTATTATATAGGAAATTTGTTAAAACTAGTTAATAGCATAGTAATTTGCTGCACTAAAAACAAAGAAGGTAATGCCGACTGTTGTTAGCAAAACAATTTTTTTTAAATAAAATAATTGAATCTATAATTTTTTTTTCAGTTTTAAAAGAATATTATTCTCGTAGTATATACATAGAAATGTTACCATATACATAGGGTGTTGGAGCAATGTGAAATACATAATTTGAAAAGTTATTTCATATTAGTCAGTATGTAATACGAGATATAATTATGTATAAAATATTGAGTTGTGACATCAAAAAGCCAATCAGAACTAGTCAAATAGAATTTTCTTATCAATAAAAAAATGGATGTATTTAATCCCACATACAATCTAAGAATATTTTTGAGATACTTACACAATTGCATTTACTCCTCGACAGTATCGTTCCCACATCGATCGAAATCTAGGTTGACCGCCAATATCCCATACTTTTATTGTAACATTTCCTTTTGTTATTTTCCGCATATTGAAACCAACTGTTGGTATCATATCTTCACTAAATTGACCAGACTAAAATTAAACGAAATCACTTAATATGTACATACATGCACATGTATTTCATATTTAATACATAAGGTTCAATAAACTTAATTAACTTAAATTTTTTATTAATTCCGAAAGTAATCAATTGCATTCGAAGGTTTCTACCATATTACGTTTTTTGTAGAATGCTTTTATAAAATGCGGGTAGTTAGCAATGTATATTCAGTAAGAATAATAAAATTACTTATATATGAATACAGTCAAGAGTGGAGTACGAGTACACATAATGTCACAGATGTTCATTTAAGATGAATAATCCAATCGATAATACAGATAGATACTATATTGCTAATTAAAAATGTACTTCGAAATACAATTTTATAATTTTCACATTTCATTTTATAACGAACAATTTTAGTTTTTAAATTAAATTAAATACAAAATAAAAAATTTAGCTTGTCATTTAATATTGTAAAATTATATATTATGTACAGTAGTATATTGAACATTCGTAGCACAAATTAATATTGAACGAATGAGAAAACCACAAAATAAATTACGTCCCTATTTAATTTGGGGAAACAGCAATTTATCTATTGATAACGTCATTTATTTGTGTAAAAAATTAAATAGATGCTTAAATAGATATGTATGTAGTAAAATATTATTTTATATTAAATTTTTTATTCTTTGAAAATTTTCTACAAAAAAAAAAATTCATTTTAAAAGAGATCGAAAGTAAAATTTTCATAGTATTTACAGATTTTTTGCCCACATAATTTCTATTGTACATTATTAAAGCTATTAATCATTCATTTTTTTTTTCTTATAGATATCCAAAATTTAAGCTGAGAACAATGAAATTGGTATTACTAAAATTGATTTTGTTTTCTTACCGCAATTACATTGACAAATGTTGTTTTTCCTGAAAATTGCAAGCCCACTAATGTTAATTCCATTTCTTCTTTCCAAAATAGACTTTTTATCCAGTCTAAAATCCTATTAATTATTGCTAACATTTTTATTAATTTTATATTTTATACAATAATCAAAAGTGTTAAATGTTTCCTTCTACTTATTTTTTTTACTTTTTTGACAAACAAATGCACCAAATTAGGCTAACAACGCAGTTTACATTTGAAGTGTTGAGATATACTGTCATAAATGTTGCGCAACATCAGAATTTAGATTTATATAGAAAAAAAAAACATTAATCAAACATCGTTCAAACAAAATTATGATATTGGAGATTTTTGAATGGCTTAATACATCTAAGTTCTATTGAGTACTCGTTCTATTGTATGTAAAATTTAGAATTTAGTATATTAATTAATTTACCACAAATTTATTAATGTTCTACACCCTCCGCGTTGATCTGACAATTATACAAAACTTACATCTGCAGAATTATATAAGAAATAATTTTGAGTTTGGCAATGAAACTTGGATAATTTCTAGCAACACTTATCGTAAAAGAATATGATCAAAAGTAAAACATTTGGGAAAATAATGTAGATGTTTCGAAAATTTATATGTATGTACTTAATTTAAATGAGTCTCATTTAAATGCAGTATGTTTTGCTTTTTCTAATGAATATGTTTGATTCTTTATTTTCTATGTATATCAAAAGAAAAAAAATTTTTTTTATACATGAGGCGCTCATCGCATTTGTGGCTTACTTGCAAAAATGACATTTTAAGTAAAATGCGATTGAAATGTTAAATATTTATTTTTTAAGAAAATTTTTAAAAGACAAAATTAAACTTATATCAAAATAGAGTGAAAAGAAGAATAAATTAAGTATTTTCAAAATATAGAACAATTCTTTTGACCAATACAGCTCTATTGAACATAATAACTCATTTTTGCAAAACTGTTGGATAGGCCACTAATGCGCTGAGCGCCTCACAAATACATGCAAATATACTAATGAACTTTTGAATCTTGAAACAATTTACATAGATTTAATAGAAAATTATAGAAAAAAAAAAAAATTCCAAAAGCTTAAATTTGCGACTATAATAAAAATCATTTTTCTTTTCAAATGAAATTCAAATTTATTTTGAGCTTTAACAAATAAAACGGCACTTAAATAATTTTTCCCTTAAATATTTTCTTTTCATTTTCGTTATACATAAGACAAAATATTAATTTTAACTTTATTTTAATCATTTTTACTGAAATATATATTACTATAACTTTTAGATTTTCGTTTTTCTATACTTTCAAAATCAACATTCTCTTTAGTATCATCGTATGCTTTCTCTTCATATCTTGAACTATATTGTAAATTATCGGAATCTTGATTTTCATTTTGAACATTTAAATTTTCATATGAACTATTTCTTTTATATATTGTATTTTTTCCAATTAATGTAGTATTATTGTTATTAGAATAATTATATTTTGTTGAAAATAAATCATCATTATCATCATAATCATTATTATATTTAGTACTATTTAAATTTGAACATTGCTCAGAGGAATAAAATGTTGTAACTTTTTTATATCTATTGTCATTTTCATTTTGAATAACTGGTGTTGTTAATGTTGATGGTGTTTTTGATAATAGATCATCAAATATTAAACTTTTTCTAGATAATGCATCTCGATGACATCTCTTTCGACGATTTACCTTATCATTTTCATCGCATAAATCATCAATAAATTTAATTGTATTTTTAATTGATTCTAATCTCTCTTTAAAATCGCTTTCATCTTTACGTGAAAAATATTTTCTATCGTATGTTTGATTTTCATAAGATGATCTCAATTTAATTTTATTCAAATCATTTTCATCATCTACTTCATTCATTTTAATACCATAACGATTTAAAATATTATTCTTACTTTCGATTGATTTATTAATTGAAATTTTATTATATTCATCGTTAAAACTAGAATCGTTTTTATATTCATCATATTTATTGAGAAATTTTTTACTGATATTATCCTTTGGTGATTCTAAAATTCGAACCGTTTTTGTACTAGGATAAATTATTTTTTCAGTTCCAATCATTGAAGGCTGTCGTGTTAAAGAACTTTTACGTTCTTTTTGATCTAATTCATCTAAATTTGTTAATCGAATTTTTGATAACAAATCTTCTGTTGCATCGTACTTATATGAAGAATCTTCTTTGAAACTCTTTAAATTTATATCATATAATGAGTCTTTTGAGCCATACAAGGAATCTTTAAGGCTTTCAATCGGACTAATTGATTTACGTAATGAATCTCTTCTTTTCTCTGTCGCTTGTTCCGGACTAATAAGCTTACGTAATGAATCACGTCTTTTTTCGATTTGTTCTGGCTTCTCAATGAACCAGTATTGATCATATTCTTCCGATTCGGATTCATAATTTTTCTTTTCAGAAATCAAATCACGATTTTTTGTCGATTTTTTATTTTCGTAATTAGTTTCTTCTTCATGAATATTTTTACGATTTTTGCTTTGGTCAAACATCTCTTTTTCTTCAAAATTAATGGATAAATCTTTAGTTATTTTAAAAATTTCATAATCCTTAGCTTTTGTTTCCCTTTTTTCCGGGCCTTGATCTAGTAATGAATTAGATTTTTCATGCAAACTTTTGATTTCTTCAACAATCTGATTCGAATTATTTTTATGAATTTCACAGTCATTTTTGTCTTCAGGGGAATACTCGTATCTTTTCAGTTTACAGGAATCTAAATCATCAAGTTTTTCTAAAATAATACGATCATTATGCTCCAAATTTTGTAAACTTTTTGAATTTTCTTTAGAAATTTCAAAATCATTTACAATTTCACGCTCAATTTTTTCTTCAAAACTTCTGCTCATTCTATTCGTCTGATAATATTTTTTATCACTAAGTAATAATTCATCATCGATCTCGTCGATAGTTCTTTTAGTTTCACCTAATAAAGATCCTAATTGTGGTTTCGTTGTATTACAAGAATTGTAGTCATTTTCATTTTCTATTGTGTCAATTTTTAATTCAATTTTATTTTTATCAATTACTTCATTACCATCGGCTGGTAAACTAGATGTATTACATTCTGATGAGCTCATTTCATCACCAATTGTTAAATCAATTTGATTGCTCTTCATAGTTTTTGCATCTGGGAATAATTCACTTAAATCGTCATCTTTAATTGGACTTGATTTAAATTTATCATCACTTTTTTCGGATACTTGTTGAATATTTTCTGAGCTTTCAGCTGGAGAAATAATATTATTTGATTTCTTCGAAAAACTGTCAAGAACTTTTGAATTTTCTTCAATTATTTTAAAAACATCATAATAAGTTCTTGTTTCTGATTTGGTTTTACCATCTTCTTCAACCCCATTTTTTGTGTAATGAATTCCCTCAAGATAATCTTTAACAGCATATTTTGCAAATTGACTGAATTCATTTTGAAATATATTATCAAAAACTTCATTTGTAACTCCTTCTTCTCCAATATTTGAGTTATCTTGATGCAAATCTTCACCTTTAGAAATTATCGGATTTGTTTTAAAATCCTCATCAGAAACTTTAGATTCTTTAGATGATTCAAATGGTAAAAATAATATCGACATTTTTTCCAAACTCTCCGATGATTTTGATTTGTCTTTTATATCAGAAGTAATCGATTCAGATTTATTCAAATTTGTTTCTTCATTTGTTGAATTTTCATTTTTTATATGACTCTTAAATTCTACTATCGGAGAAATATCATTTTTAATAGAATTTTCCAAAAACTGTGAATCACTTAAGTCTATATTTAGAGTTTCATCATTAATATTCACAATTTTAATTTCTTGATTTTGTGGAGGCGGATTGTCTATTAATTGTTCTTCTTCTAATGGGGTTTTTAAATATTTTTCTCTCCATTTTTCAATTTCTTCGAAATCGAATTTATCATTGAGTTCTTCTTTTTCTTGTATAACAATTTCATTTTTTAGGTTTTTATCGTAATTAGTTTCATAATTATTTTCATCACAGATAATATTTTCTGTGTCAGGTAACTTTGTGACATTTAATTTTAATAATAATACTTGATTATCGTTTTCTTCAACATTTTGTTCAATTTCATTTTCAGTTTCGCTAATAATGTTATTGCTAATATTACTGGCACTATACGAAGCAATTTGTTCCAATATTAAACTAACATTTTCGGAAGTTTCCTTTTCTGAATTTTTCATATCAATATTTGGCCAATTATCACATGTTTCATCAATACTATCCGAATAGTAAAGATTAAGAGAACTACATTCATACAAACTGTCATCATCGTTATCATCATTATCACATAAACTAGTGGTACTACTGCTATCACTTGATTGAATTATTTCATCTTTATTATTTATTAAACTATCTAATTGTTCTGGTTTAGGAAGTTGTTTTATATCAGGACTCTTTTTTGATTTCATATGACGATGATGAGGCATTAAATTATTATCTATTTTTTTGCTATGTTTATTTATAGTGATAATATGACTATCTTTACTGTTTTCATTTGATTTTAATAATTTTCTGCTATTGCTATTATTATTTTTGAGATTATTATTACTAGCATTAGACCAAAATTTATTTACGGTAAATGTTGCTGCCGTTTTTCCATCCAGGGCTTTTTTACCTAATGTAACTGCATTTAATTCTAAAGATGGCCGCCTTTTTAATTTTTCATATTGTTTTTTAAATACAGACATATCAATATTTTTTATATTAACTTTCTTGTTTGCATCCCGAATTGATTTTTGATTTAAAGTTGAATTAATCATTGACTGAGATGATGAAGGTATTGAAGCAGATCTTTGATTTAATTTATTTGGCCTGAAATTAAAATTAAATTTGTATAACAAATATGTAAGTTTGTAAGTAATATAATAAAAATAATCTTTTATATATACCTTTTATTACGTTCGGAAAGTTGTTTATGTTTGACACGTAAAACATGTAAATTAGAAATTGGTTTGAATCTTGAAACAATTCTAACTAATTCCGCTGGATCACACATACTTCCACTGCACAATCTTTGAAATAATATTCCCATATTACCATAAAAATCATCAATATTATTCATCTTTGCAACATATCTAAATAAAAATGAATTAAAAGGGAAATCTCATTGTCAACAATTATTATAATTAGAAATTATATATACTTTTCCATAATACTCCATATAGCTAAAGAAGTTCGGAAAATAACTTCATTTCCTTCTAAAAATATTAAATCCCATATTCGTAATAAACTAGGCATAGCTAAACATGTACAAAAAATTGTTAAAAACCATTGCATTGTAAAAAGGTTTGTTAGTGGGGGTTCATCATATCCTTGACCACTTTCTAAATTTTGAAGATGTGTAGCTAATTTTGGTAAATGTTCGAACATTAATTGCCTAAATACTGCCATATCAATTTGAAGTCCTACTAATGATTCACTATAATAACCGGGTGGAAGAATTCCTTCAAGTAGATATACCATAATTTTTAATGAATTTTCTTGTTCTTTCTCCATAATTTGAAGTATAAATGCACCAAGAACATTAAAACCCTAAAAGAATATAAAATAAGAATAATATAAATTCAAAATTTTATAGAATACACGTTTAAATTACCTGGCAATATCCCACTTTCGGATTCCATTGTGCATATTCTAATAATAAATGCTTTAGTTTTCCCTGATTTATAATACTGTTTGGGCCGGAACAAAATGCTGATCCAGTTCTATGAAGATCCTATAAAAATTTCAAATAAAAATCTATTTAAAATTGTTTTTGTTAGTTTTTAAACCTTAATTATTTGGTCTTCCATGTCACGATCTTCAACGTACATGCTTGTATTTCTTCGTTCTTGCCAATTAATACATTTTGAATGAAAATATTTTTCAGCTAAAGTTAACCATAACTATAAAAAGGATTTTTTTGATAATTTTTATTTTTATTTTTTTATTATTTAATTACCTCTTTTCGACGAGATTCTGGTATTCCGCGAGATTTCCATGCATAAAATTTCATTTCATCCAGCCATTCGTCAATATCTTTTGATCTTCTTTCATATATCAAACTAGGATTTGGTAAAAGCCTTCTATTTTCTCCTGCTACCTTTGTAGCTTTCTCCGGAATTTTTTGTTGTTTTTCTAAAATTTTATAAATTAAATTTTATTAAATTTTGCAAAATTTAAAAATTTCTAAAATTTTATTGATTCTTTCTATAGTCTTAATTTCAAATGACTGAGAAATTGCAAAAAAAAAAGTGAAAAAATCTTTTTAAAACTTGGGAGTTTCTTCTTTTATAAGATTAAGACAGAAAAACCAATTTTAATTCAATAAAAACGGTGAAAAAGTGAAAATGTCACCTTTTTTCCCCCGACATCCTGTAATTGGTTTTTCTATATAACATTAATTTTCCTTAACCTTGTAAATGACATATGTTTTGTTTAACCACGCGTTACTCTTACTTTAAAAGAAAACCTAAAATGTAGGGATCAAAGTGATTAACCCAAATCAAAGGATACACCAATTTCAATTATAAAATATACGTTTATGATCCGCATGTGTTTACATGCTTATATTATAAAAGCTTTTTGTGTACATGCATGTATGAAATTTTAATATTTTCTTAAAAAATTTATATTTTCCATTCATATATATATGTCATATATAATAATATTTATTTAGTTAAATGTGTATTCAATGTGTTATACATATGCACACAAGAGAAGATGTAATTGTATAAGTATGTATGTGTAAATAAAATTGATTTCATTCAAGGAACAAGCGAAGACAATTAGATAATGGGAAAAAAAATCATGACAAAATTATTTTTGCTTTAAGTGTAATTAAAGTTCGAGGTGACGATTTTTATTGATGTGAACAATAGCTATGTTCAAAAATTTTGAAATTTAATTATATTAATTAATATCCGTATATCGTATATTCTTTTGAATAATAATTTTATTTTAAGTTATCATAAAGAATATTAAAGTAAAAAATATTTAAATAACTTTCATTAAAATGTTTTTATAAAGTTCACAAAATATTGCATATTTTTAGGTGACTCAGTCAAAATTTAATATTTTTAATATGATTTTAACAAAAATTTAACCATTATTTCTAATTATTTAATTAGTGCAATAATTAAACTAGAAAGCTCCAGGGAAATTTATATGGATTGCGGTGGAAAAAGAAGAACAAAACAAATAAAAAAATTCAATTTTGATCTTTGCTCAAATTCAATACCCCCATTTATTTATTATCTTAACTCAAACCTTTTTTAAATGGCTTTTAAAGGATGTGTAAACACCTAGGACCTGTTAAATAAAAGATGTACATATTTCGGAAACCTTTTTAATGATATACTTGGTCATGCAGTATATTTGATGAAAATTTTAAAATTTTTATCAGCCCTGCCTGTCAAGAATTCAGTAAAACTACCTTGTTCGTAAGGTACTAAATTCAGATAGTTGGCCATTTTTTATCATTTTCAATATCGATCTACGAGCAGTAATAATATACATCTGTAAAAGATTTTAAGTAACAGGCTCTTTGCGTTCCTTAATGGCTCGCTTCAACAAAACACTTAGAATTTAATTATAAGCTAAACCCCTTAAAAGGTCATTCGTATTTCTTTTTTCGGAAATATCTACATCACGTCGGAACTAACTGAATATACATCCCATATTATATTACGAATTTCTATGTGATAACAGTTTCTAATAGGTTTTTGAAAAGGATCATAAAAGCAATATCTCGTTCTTTTATGGCTTTAAAATTTTGTATTCTTATACGTTTATACTTATATACATATATATCGAATTCTCAGATATTTTTTTTAAGAATAAACCCTTTAATCTCTTTCAGTTTAAGGTAAATTACAAATCTACATCCAAAACGTAAGTGAAGGCTGAATGAAAATAAAAAAAATTTAAAATATCAAAACGTTCTCCATTTATAAATGCCATTTTTAACTTAAGGATTTAACTTAAATAAAATGGAAATTCGAATCATTCCTTGGTTTCTTAAATTACAAATAAATTCGCAAAAAAAAAAACAACAATTGTACACATATTAAACATTTGGTATTAATTTTTTTAATGAAATTTGTGTGAAAATGAAAATTTATCAGTGACCTTCGTTATTTTTCAATATAATCAAAATGTTTTAAATTAATATTATAATTATATGTATACGTGTATATATTTATAATTAAACATAAATGTCAGAAAGGGAAGCATTCCCTTAAAATCAAAGTTATAAATGATAAGTGTACCTGTACCCGTGCTATATATTTTATGTTTGAAGTAGCAGGCTCGTATTGCCAAGGATATTTTTACATTACATTGATTTATGTTAATTACTTTTATTCTATATAAATATATTCTTACATTTTATCTTGTATATAGATAATGTAATTATTAAAATTTCGTAAAATATCAAAGAATATCCAGCATATCCATACTATTTAACTCCATACTATATACATCCAAGTAATTATAGCATTCTATTATACAAAAACGATTTCAAATTAAGGATAATAAATTTACATAAATAAATATTGATAATATTGCATTTCCCAACTTTATACACATATAAATATATAATGTATAATTTTTGTATATAACCTTAATTTATAATTTTCGCCTATCATCTCAATCAAGTATGGGGTATATACATACATTTTGAACTTTAACATTGCACATAAATTGATTTTTATATTGATATTATTAAATTTAACTTTTGTCATAAATTTCTATAACAATATACAAAGTAGGTGTTAAATGGAAATATTTTATTTACACACATGCATATATTATACATATATTTATTATACACATATCTGTTATTATATAAGTTACTCGTAATTACTAAGTATAATGTTTCCAAGTTATTTTTATAATCGACAATAATATGGAAAGTTCATAGTCACAAAATTATCGTTAACTATGATTTATCTTATCGTGAACTATCACATTTGTAATATTATATACATATATAAGTATATTTAGTAACATATATATAAATATTATTTGTTGATCCAGGGCAATTCTGAGGTATTAAAAGGGAAAATTTCAATTTCTTAGTAAAAATGAAATACAAAATTTTTTTGCATTTTTTTATTATTTTTTGAAAAATTCACAAACATTTAAAAATTATTTTATTAGTTTTGTATTAACATACAGAGAATAGAAATCTGTTATATAACATGAACTTCTCTTAGAGATTGAGCGCAATAAAGAATAAATATTTTAAATAATGAACAAAAATTTAAGAAAGCAAAATCTAAATGCTTATATGCATACTGTTTATAATCTCTATTTCTATAAAATGAATAAAATTCACTGTAGTTGAGTGTATGTTTAGGAATAAGCTCTTAAATTGATTTTTTATTAAAAAATTTTCTATATAGAGAGAGGAGAAGTAGCTAACGCATAAACATAACAGCCATCTACAGAGATAAGTGTATTTAAGCGATTCCTTCTCTCAATCATATTATATAGGACATTTAAAAAAGAGGCACAATTACACCATGGTGTATGGTTATCGCAGTTATATCCAATTCACAATAATGTAATTTGATTACATTTCAGAATACCAACATCATATATCTTCTCTTCAATAAATAATAAAAAATAACTTTAGTAATAATTAATTATTATGCTGTATTAATAATTACATACGTATATTACATCAATTTGTTTGTGCCGCCTTTTATGTACAAAGATGACGTAGACTATATTTTAAATGTACACAATCACATATTGTTATTTTTTAATAAAATCAATTCATATTTAATAAAATAATGTATTCAATAATGGCACAATTCAAAAAAACAACATTTTCAGAAATTTAGGAATATTATGAATGCAAAGTCTTCTTTACTATTGTTATATGAAAAATTAGACTATTCCTTTAAAAATATAAACAGCTTCAATTTTAATGTTGTCGATTTTTCATGATAAGCATTATATACATTTTGACCTCGATTTGCGTCTACTAAACGCTTCTGAAACGTTTGATATAAGAAAGAGAGATTTAAATCGAAACAAAGAATTTCAAAAACCAATATGAACTTATTTTTGTATAAACCTTTGTGTGCAGTAGGAGCTTTTATAGCAACATGTTTTGTTTTCCTGTAAATCTAGAAGTCATTCAAAATATTTCAAAATTTTAAAGCCATTGTGAATTAAAATCGATCATTTATTAAAAAGAAAATGAATTCTGTCGGAAAAAATGTTGTGTAAATCGTAAAAATGATGTAGAGTAATTAAAATGAGAAGAAATCGGTATAGTTTACAAAAGAAAAAATTGTTAATCGAAAAGGTTTAAGGTGCATATGAACGTATTCTCTTCTTATAACAATAATTTAAAATTCTTAAATTTTTGATTTATTTCATTTTACAATTACATATATGTATAAGTATGAGCTATATGAAGAACATTTTTAAAAATAATATTTACATAATAAAATCTAAAAAATAAGAGAAAAACAATTTTTCATTCATCAAACAATTTCTTCGAATTTCTGTTGGCAACGTGAAAGCTGAATTTTCTTTGAATTTTTTATAAACAAATATACATATACATATATTTGTATACCCACTCGTGTTTGTTAAATATTTATATTTTAAAATAATGCAATTATATAAAATACACAAGATATACATATATTATGTATAGCTATGCTTCAAAAAGAATGGATAAATGGATTTTTAGTTTTTAAAAGGTTCACTACGCAGTTTTTTATACTTTTATTATCATATAATATCTTTATATCATACTGTATGCATCTGTATATAATTTAAATATTTATGTATATAAATATGTATATAAAGTACTTGTGTATATTATGTACAAAATAAGTTCAAAAACAAAAAGGTATACTCTCTAATATGGAAAATAATTTTTTGGCCCAATTAATTTTAATTTAATTATAAGCGTAATGACTTGGTTATAATACATTTAGCCTCAAGCAAAAAATTTATTATTAAGACAGGATGGTCCCACAACTAATATTAAAGCGGTTATTTTCGTGTGAGTAAAGCAATGAGAAGTTGAACGCGTACGTTTAAGAGTAGTTTTGAATAGTTAAAAAATTAGAATTAAGAAATATTATCTGACAAATATTTATAACAGTTTTGAAATGGTTAAGGGTAGAACAATATCATGTTCACGTTTTTTGTTTTCTGTTTATAAAACTCCATAACGGTAATGTTAATATACATGTTAGATTTACCGTTTCCTATTAATAAAAGAATCCCGAAAATTGTTTACATAAATTATTGAACTTTATCTAACAAACAATACGTGTGACTGACATAAAAATTATGAATTGCAAAATTGTAGAGGAAAAAGTAGCGATAATCATGTTTTTTTGAAATATTTTCAATTTCCTAATCCAAAGTATTATGCTAAAGCATTATTTTCCGGAAAACGGTAACTCTAACATCAATAATTAGAATTGCTATTATGTAATTCTGTTTACTGAGAAAAAAAAGTTGCACATTGATCTTACGTCAACTGCTTCGAAGCTATTTCGAATATTTGTTGGACAGGGTTTTTTTAAATTTTAAACCTTTGAAAATATTCCAAGATTTCTGAGTTCCCCAATTCGTATCATTTATTTCTTTAATAACACATTGAATGGCTTAACACTATTACCGGACCACTCTGTATAAAAAGAGAGTGAATGGTTATAGAGAATTAAATTCTAAATAAAGGATATTTTCATATTATTATTTTTATATAGTTGATTTTTTCCTCTTTGTGTTTTCTTTTCTTTTACGTTTTCATACAAATTTTCTTCAATAAAAAAAAACCAAAAAAAAAACCATTATTTTACTCTTTTTTTTTTCTTTATTGTTTTATTCTTGTATCCAGTTATGTTGTTTTTTCATAAAAATTTCAAAGGAATTTTAATTTTTATTATTAAAAGAAAAAAAAAGTATTTTATTCGAATGTATGAAAAAATTTTTGAACAAGATTCTTTAAAAATCATATATATACCTACTACATAAATATGTACAATATGTATATATATACTAATAAAATATTATCCTAATTATGTCTGATACTCTGATATATAAGATTACTTAAAAATTAATAAAAAAAAAAATAAAACATAAATGGAATACTAAATTTAATATTCAATGTATATGTAGGCGGCAAAATATTAAAATGGTATACTACACTGTACTTGCATATCCTGTTTGGGAAAAACCGAAAAATATTTTTAAAAGGGATATCATAAATACATGAATTACGCATACATGTGTGTATATGAAATAAACTGAAATGATTTTATAAATAAAATAAACTCCCACATTAATGCAAACACAAAATGTTATTGAAACATAAAGAGAATTAATATGAAGGAAAAATTAAAAAAAAAAACAATAAAATTTTTATAAATAATTAATAAGATTTATTAATTATATATAGATATAAGGAGACAATAATCTTGTAATGTACTTAAAAAATTTTAAAAATTTTGTTTTTTTATTAAATAATTAAACAATTAGAATTTAAGCTACCTACATTTTATTTTATAATACAAAATTGATTTAAGGTCAAGTTATCATGAACTTTACAATACATAGAGAATACAATGGAAAAAAAGAGATAGTAGTTTCTCTTTAAATTTGAAATTTATAATTATAATATTATGTATACCTATGTGACCTATGTCACTAATTGTGAATAATAGTTTAAATAAAACCAAAAAGACCTCATAAAATATATACGAGAATTTGTTCATTTTTAAAACAACCCTTTAAGAAAATGGTTAAGAGCTACGTAATTTAAATATGAAATATTAATTCTTATTTCTACGTTATCACTGGTATCGACATTAACATAACAGTTTACTAGAACGCTAACATCTCTTTATAGAAGAGAGGAAAATCTTTTTTGGTTTAATATTTTGAAAGTAAATACTTAAGAATTTTTTTCATTAATTTGAAATTTTGTGTAATGTCAACAGTTCATTTACAATATACGAGTATTAGGCGAATAATGCAATTTTTAATATAAAATGAAAATTAATAATTTTATTTATTTCAAGTTTTGATTTTTTCATTGATTTCAATACACAAATAATTATTAAAATTTGAGTATTTAGTGCTAGATTATAGAAATTTTAATTTATATTAAACTAAATTCGAATCATTAGTTAGCATTTAATTCAATTCAAGTATTATTTATTGAATTGAACTTATGTTGTATTTAAAGAGATCTTATATTGTATTTTAAATAAATTTTATGATTGACTTAAGAAGATAGACATAAACTAATGAACAATAAATTTCTTTCAGAAATTTTACTTATACAGAAATTATATGCTAATAATTTTAAGTTATATTTAAATAGAACATTATCAGAATTTAAATATAATAATAATTGAATTCGAATAAAATTTTATTAAAATTTATGAATTTTAATTAAATACAATGATTATTTTAGAATGTAAATTACATATTAATTGTATATACACTATAAATACATTGCATACATAATATAATAATTGTATAATTATTTGCGGAAACATATTAGCTATGATATTATTATTTCTATTAAATTTAAATAATATAGAAAACAAATATTTTTTTTTCCTGTTAATTATCATTATTTTTAGAAAAATTTTAATTTTTTTTGTTAAGATATCAAATTTGAGTACAATATTTATATATATGAATTATAAAACGTACCAAAAAATTTAAACAGTTCTACTTATTCTTGTGAGTTCACGCTATTTATATATGGAATTATTTTCTAATTAAAGAATTCTTTTTGTTGCCTCTATGTATATTATATGTTTTATTTTTACTTAACCTTTTTCAACATTATAATATTAAGTATTTAAACATAAATAAAATTATTATTAATAAATTTTATATATGTATTATAAAATATTCAATTTTTTTCATAAAGGTATATACAATTAAGTAAAAAGCATAATATTCTAATATATATATATATATATATATATATATTAGTAGTGGAATATATATTGTATATATATACAATCAGGCATATTAAATATTCATATAAAAATAGATGTTAAAACAAAAAAAGGCGAAAACTCTTAAATATTAAATTAATATTGTATAATTAAATTTCTGTTTAAATTTTTGAGATTCTAATAAAAATCAAATCTTTATGTATAATAAACAGAATAAATAAACCTTTGAACCCCGCAAAGAATACATGGATAATCAATAGAACAAAACAAAAAAAAAAAAAGAGTAAATTAAATTTCCAAAAAAGAAGAGCAAAAAAGAGTTTGTATATTCTTTATTATGCACTATATCTGGGGTCTAACCTTATAAATCGAGACTATCAGAAATCTTTGAAATTTCATACATATATTATGTTAATATATACATATAAATATTGTATATATATATAAAATAGTGTGTGTATGAAAATATCGCGTTGTCCTTCATAACAAAAAAAAAAAAAAAATTTTTTTTTTTCTATTTTTATTTTTTTTATTTTTTATTTTTTTCTTGGTGTTTTTTATATACTACATCTACTATAATATTGTATTTTCTATTTGTTCTTAAAAATGCTTTTAACATATAAACCTCAATATCAATGGTATATAAACTCATATACATACATACTCATATACATTGTATGTATATCCTTATCTTAATTTCTATTAGCGATAAAAAAAAAATTTGCATATAGTAATCAATAAAAAAAAAAAACAAAATGAAAATATTTTAAGGATTTTTTTTTTTCATTTCGTTTATTATTGAATTTCCCCCAAAAAAAAAAAATTCTGAATGGATTTTATTAATTTTTGTTTCTTTTACCTTTTTCATCTTCGTCATCATCTTTATTTACTGATTTTGTTGTAGTATCCTCTACAGATTTCATAATTTAATAAAAATTTTTTTAATTTTAATTTTTTAATTATTAAATTTATGGAACATTTAATTTTCAGTAACATAACACTTATTCTCTAGAAAGGAATTTACAATGAAAGCACAAAAAAAAAAAAAATGAAAAGAAGAGAAAAAAAATTTCTCTTCTTTGTTAAATTTTTCTTGTTTTTCTTATTTTGTTTTTCTGTGGTTTTTTTTTCTAACAGGAATTCATTTAAAGGAATAATTTTTGAAAATTATTTCAAAATTTTTATTAATTTTTTGTTTTCATACATAATTTTCTCTTTTTTATTTTTTTTTAATCACTAAATTTTTTTTTAAAATTAAAAACATAAAAATTTTTTTTTTTTGTTTTTTTGTAGTTTGACACACACGACTTTGAAAATAGCACTAGAATTAATATTGTTATAAAATGTAAGAAGACAACAGCAACAGAAAAGAAAGTAATTTTCTGTATGTATGTATATATGTAGGTATACCTACGAGTTTTATATCACATAATTATTATAACAAATTGTCAATATTTGAAAATTGATTTGTGAGCATGCGTCATAATTGTCTCGTGTAAATGTCAATTTCATTAAAGAAAATAATAAAGTTTTCTTCTGTTTTTTTTTTTTTTTTTTTCTTTTTATTTTTTAATTTTCTTTTATGGTTTCATTCTTTTTGTTTATAAACTGTATTTTTCAATGTTTTGTTTTGCTCCAAAAAAAAAAAAAACAAAAATAGGAGAAATTCAATGTGTTGTTTTTATGTTCGTATATATATATATATATATATATATGCAATGTGTTGTCGAATACATACATACATACATATATACGAATAACCTTAAAAGTCACTATTAAGTTCTTTGTTACATTTATATTAATAATATAAATTGGTGTATGGAAAATAAGGGCGCCAAAGTTATTTATAGTGTTAGGATTTTAGTAGAAATAATCTAAATGATATGTCAAATATTAATTTGTGTCATTTCACAAAAAAAAAAAAAAAAAAACATATTTTTTTTTTAGGATCATTATATTATAACTCTTCGTTTTTTTAAGTAGATTAATTGAAAATATATTATGAAAAATAAGATAGGAAATGGAGTAAAAATATGTTACGGATCTTCACGTAATGGCTCACTCAAAATATGCAATTTGCAATTGTTTGATTACTTTTACTTGTATTTCATATATGAGGGGCTCAGAAGCAGAGTGGCCTAAGCCACAACGTGATTTATGCAACTTTGCTTTTGAAAAATCAGAAAATTTTTATAAAATCAGAAAATTTTCACGAAAGCAAAAGTACTTTTGTGAAAAATAAATAAGAAAAAAGTTATTTTCTTAAAAGTTAAGAAAAAGAAAACTAATATCACTGATTTTAGAAGATGTACATAACCGATTGCAGCAAAAAAAAATTTTTATACTCATTTTTATACTCTGCTTCTGAGATCCTCATCTGTGGGTATATGTTCAATCGCGTACACATATCCATAAATTTGTACTTTTTAACCAAGTGATTTGCAATTCGTAGTTAACGCAATCGAATTGAATTCAAGCAATAATTTAGTAACTTAGATGCGTGCGCAACGATTAAGCAATCAATTAATTGAAAAATATTAAAAATTGCATGCTTGCCTGAGCACTAACAGTAAAAATTAGTCTAATATCGGAATATTTGGAGTAAATTTTTGACAGATACTGTTTTTTATTTTTTGTATATGATGAATATACAGATAATTATAAAAGAAAATTGTATACATGAACTTAATTATATAGTTCCAGTTAATCATAATTTAAATACATATTTGCTGGTTCACATATTATTTTTAATTATTTTGACATTTCGTTGACATTTTTTTTATAAAAAAAATCACTTAACATTTCTAGAAAGACAACTACAATTTTTACTTTACAATTTTAATTTTTCACTAAACCGTTCATGTAAAGTAGCATTTTTTTTGATTTTATTTTACACCACTAACCCGTTACATATGGATATCCATTCTTATTATTATATTCTGTCAAATTTATTATGTGCAAAAAAAATCCTTATACATATACATACAGGCAAAAGTTTTTTGTAATTATTTACTTTATTCAAACATTTTATTGTATGAATCAAACACTGTATGATTTGTTTTTTTTTCAATAATACACAGGCTGTATTACGAGTACAAACACAATCCAACTTATATTAATGCAAAATTGTGCACAAGTACAATATAATACAAATTGTACTATAGTTATTATACAGTATAGTAAATACTAGTACATTTTACACAATATAATGTTAGAAAATTTCTAAGCTATTATTAATTTTTAATATAATTATGTATGTATATATATTATTAATGAATATGTTATTTAAAATAAATCATAAGTTGATGAGTGTAGACAAAAGAATTTCAATTATCTTACAATAATTTTGTACATACCATGTACAAAAAAAAAAACTCTTCCTTGTCATCTTTTATATTTTCACTTAAAAATAGTAAAATCCTTGATAATTACAGATGAATCACCTTTATGAGAGCACAAAATTATTACATAAGATTAAATATTTAAATACACAATATAAATTTACCCTATAATTTTTTTTTATAAGAAATAAACATAATAATTAAGATTTTGTCGTCATACTTTGAGTCACTTTTAGTACAATTCTTTTTTTTTTTATTTTTATATAAATCTTGATAGACAAACATATAAACTTGAACTTGAAAAATATTTCTAAACATAATCATTAATTATCTATGACATCGAAATGATCTACTTTAAACAAACAAGAAAACACCAACTTGCTACTAAATTTGATGAGAATATTTTTATAATATTTGTATGTATGTACATATTAAATTTCTATACTATATTATAATATATGTATAAATAGATATTAATTATATTTGTATGCTTGTGTTCCAATACGTACATGTATATCTAATTTTATTCGCACAAAATGAAAAAAAAAACGTTGATTTTATATGTGCGATTTATTTACAATAATGAAGTTGTTACGCCATGTTATGTTAATGTTTTTAAGAATTTAAAAGAAAATTCAAACAAATTATGAATTTTAAATGTAAATTAAAGTGTGTGACAAGATAAAAACAATCAAATCTTGATGTTATACTTTAAAAATGAATGTGAACCTCACGTAATATAATTGGAATATTTGAATTACTTATTCAAATATTTTAACACTAAACGATTTAATGCGAAAGCTTCGTTTTATAACAGCACTTACAGGTCAGTTCTCCCAGGATACTAGTAGGTCGGAAGATTTATTGATATTCATAAACAAATTTTAATTAAGGTATTATCTAATTTTCAATTCATTTTTAGTATATTTCGAACAAATTTGGAAAAAATTGTATTGTTAAATCAACACAATTCGGAGACGGGTTAGTCTCCGAGCGTCTGTTCAAAAAAACTTCTACACTCTTAAATATAGCAAGCCGAAATTTTATATAATAAAGTTGGGTCAAACCAATGGTTTGTATTGTAGCACTTTTCCCTTCAGCAAGTGAAAATTCTGCTTTTAAATACAGTCTATGTATACCTATCACACATTCTAAAAATTATTTTCATTCATATACAAAACTCTTTCTACTATTGCATATATTTAGGATGATACATACATGCAGTCTTTGAAATAAAGCAAAAATTAATTTAAAGAGGGGTTAACATAATGCTCGATTTTAAGGTTTAATTATGTGAGTTAAGAAAAATAATTATATTTTTTAATGTCATGGAATTTACCGTTAGCTTTTTGTGTTTATAGAAATTTGAAAAAGCTTGCGGTTTCGGAAATATAAGATGTCAGAAATTTAAATTTTACAAATTTCAAGAGGCAATAACTTGAGAGGGGAAGGAGATGGAAAAAAATTTTCTTCCAACGAAATGAACTATTTGTTAATGTCTAAAAGTCCATAAAATTTCAAGCTTCTACAGGTTGGGGTCTAGAAAATAAACGACATCAAAAATTTGGAAAAAACGGACTTTAGATAACGGTAAATTTGAGCGGCCATTTTGTTTTTCTAAAGTTAACCTTTAGTATACCCCGCTAGGGGAAGCAAGCCACTGCCTTTCTGCGTTTGCAAAATTTGAAAAATCCTTATGGTTTCATTGCACTAAATAGTTAAAGAATGGAATTTTTAGAGTTTTGGGGGGTATAACTTCTAAAGGGGGGGAGATAGATAAAAAATTTTTTCTACGAAAATAAGTTTCTAGTAAAAATCTATGTACATACAAAATTTCAGCTTTCTATCTTCAAGGGTGTAAAAGTTTTGTAAACAGACACACGGACAGACGGACGGACGGACGGACGGACAGAGTGAAACTAATAAGCACTTTTTTTCAAAAATTTTTTGGAAAAGTGCTAAAAATGGATTTTGGTGAGAAACTTATTTCTCTAGAAAAAAACAAAATTTGCTCACGTGCCCCTCTAAAAAGTTATGGGCCATCACAGCCGGCATAATACCATATTTTGACAATATATTTAAATGACAAGATGGTAATTGAAATGAATCCTTATTAAAAACAGGTATTTTTCAAACACTAATGTTAGAAAGTACTCAGGCGGGTCATAACTTTTGCAAATTTCTTGATTTACAATTGATTTATAATATAATTATGTATTTATTTTAATTCACTTAGTCAGTGAGTCGAATAATCCATCACATTAACGCCTTCTTTTAATATCATTGCTCTCATCCTAACTGTAGACAATAATATTATTTATTCCATAATACGAATTTTCATATTATACATTTGTACTCACGAGAATAATTTAAGTAAACTGTTTCTTAAAAAAAATATTTTCACTTGAGCAAAAGAAATGTGTTGCCTTATAAAGTATTGGTCAAAATGATACCTTAAATAAATAATAGTACATTAATAGTATTTAAAATAATATAATAATATACTAAAAAATATGTTAAAGAAAAAATGTAGATACTAAATTATTTTCAAATATGTATGATTACTTATCTTCCTCGTATGTTATTTACTTTAGTTATTCAGTTTTACGTGATACCTTAAATATTTTCCATTAAGCATGTACAACTAATAAAAATATACATAATAAATTGATATGCTAGTAATAATATACGACTTTTTGATGGACGATTTCATGCAAGAATGATTCATACAAAAATATGGTAATCATAC